CTGCCCAGTCAGCGCATCCAGCCACAGCAGGTAGCAGTCTGGCCAACCATGGTGGATATCAACAGCCCAGACAGCCTAACGGAAGCATATAAACTCCGCGCAGCCAGGTGAGCTCGCCCTCAAGAGCTAGAATACGCAGCAGTGGGGCTGGGGCCCTGAGAGGTGACAAGAAGGCATCTGTCGTCTATCTGATGACTTGATTTTCCTCAGACCTCCAATCTGTGTCTTAACAGATTAGTAGAAATTGCTGCAAAAAACCTTCAAACAGAGGTGATTCACAGAAAAAGCAAGGAGGTAGCATGGAACCTAACTTCTGTTGACCTCGTTCGAGCAAGTGAGGTCAGTGGTAGTTCTTTTTCTCTTTCTCTGCCCCCCAGCATCCCGCCTTTTCTAGTGCAGAAACCCTAGTCACTGTGTATTGAATCTTTTTCCATACTCAAACTCTGGTGTTTTCTTTCTATCTTAGGCACATTGCCACTATGTGGTAGTTAAGCTCTTCTCAGAAAAACTCCTCAAAATCCAAGATAAAGTCATTCAGGCTGTCTTAAGGAATTTATGTTTGTTGTATTCTCTGTATGGGATCAGTCAGAATACAGGGGATTTTCTTCAGGTCAGTATTTTCTAAGTATAAGTCTTTTTGTTGTTTTGTTGTTATTGTAGTTGCTGTTGTTTTTGAAACAGAATCTTGCTGTTACCCATGCTGGAGTGCAATGGCGCGAGCTCAGCTTACTGCAACCTCTGCCTCCCAGATTCAAGCGATTCTCCTGCCTCAGCCTCCCAAGTAGCTGGGACTACTACCACCACGCCTGGCTAATTTTTTGTATCTTTAGTAAAGACAGGGTTTCACCATATTAGCCAGGATGGTCTTGATCTCCTGACCTTGTGATCCACCCACCTCAGTCTCTCAAAGTGCTGGAATTACAGGCATGAGTGAGCCACCACACCCAGCCTTGTTGTTTTAAGAAAAATAATTGCTGGCGTAGCTCAGTGGCTCACTCACGCCTTTAATCCCAGCACTTTGGGAGCCCAAGGCAGTGCGGTGATCACTTGAGGTCAGGAATTCAAGACTAGCCTGACCAACATGGTGAAATCCCATCTTTACTAAAAGTACAAAAATTAGCCGGTCATGGTGGCGTACACCTGTAATCCCAGCTATGAGGGAGGCTGAGGTACAAGAATCATTTGAACCCTGGAGGCAGAGGTTGCAGTGAGCCAAGATGGCACCACTGTACTACAGCCTGGATGACAGAGTAAGACTCTGTCTCAAAAAATAGAAAGATAAAAGAAAAATAATTGTTGTCTGCTTTATAGCTGTATGTGCATATAATTATGTCTGTCTATATATATGTATGTTTTATTTACTTATTTTGGTCTCTTTTAGGGGAGCATCATGACAGAGTCTCAGATTACCCAAGTAAACCAGCGTGTAAAGGAGTTACTCACTCTGATTCGCTCAGATGCTGTTGCTTTGGTTGATGCATTTGATTTTCAGGATGTGACGCTTGGCTCTGTGCTTGGCCGCTATGATGGGAATGTATATGAAAACTTGTTTGAGTGGGCTAAGAACTCCCCACTGAACAAGGCAGAGGTAAAATCCAATATCTTTGCACCTTTTTTAAAGTCTTCACTTTAATATTGAGGCAAGAAAGGCCTCTGGAAAGAGATTTATCTGTGAAAGCTTTGAAAGCACTGTGGCCACTTTTGATAGTCATTTTATTTGAGCAACAGGCCCAGAAGGGGACAGGGTTAGTCCCACAGTAATCAGGGTCTTAATCAATTTCAATTTTTGTTAACAAATTGAACATTAAAAAATATATACAAGCCGGGTGTGTTGGCTCACGCCTATAATCCCAGCACTTTGGGAGGCCAAGGTGGGTGGATCACCCTGGGTTAGGAGTTTGAGACTAGCCTGGCCAAAATGGTAAAACCCCTGTCTCTACTAAAAATACAAGAAATCTCCAGGTGCGGTGGCTCACACCTGTAATCCTAGCACTTTGGGAGGCCAAGGCAGGCGGATCATGAGGCCAGGAGATCGAGACCATCCTGGACAACATGGTGAAACCCCGTCTTTACTAAGAATACAAAAATTAGCAGAGTGTGGTGGCTCACACCTGTAGTCCCAGCTTCTCAAGAGACTGAGGCAGGAAAATTACTTGAACCTGGGAGGCAGAGATTACAGGGAGCCGAAATTGCACCACTGCCCTCTGGATGACAAGAGCAAAACCATCCCAGAAAATACACACACACACACACACACACACACACACACACACACACACACAGATAGAATAGAATAAAATATACACAAAGAATTCCATTGTGCTCTTTCGTACACCCTTTGTCTAGCTGCAATGACTATCAACTCGTGACCAGTTGTGTTTCATCTGAACACCCCTCCTCCTCCTCTTGGGGACTATTTTGAAATTAAACCCAAGATATTAGATACTTTTATTCATAAATAATTCAACGCATAGCTCTGAAAGATTAGGACTCTTTTTTTTTTTTTAAAAAGACAGGTTTTCACCGTGTTGGTCAGGCTGGTCTTGAACTCCCGACCTCAGGTGATCCGCCTGCCTTGGCCTCCAAAGTGCTTGGATTACAGGTGTGAGCCACCGCACCTGGCCAAGATTAGGACTCTTAAGATAAAACCACCATAGGCTGGGCACAGTGGCTCATTCCTGTAATCCTAGCACTTTGGGAGGCTGAGGTGGGTCGATCACTTGAATTGAGGAGTTCTAGACCAGCCTGGGCAACGTGGCAGACCCCCATCTCTACAGAAAATACAAATAGCAGCCAGGCATTGTGGTGCACACCTGTAGTTCCAGCTACTTGGGAGGCTGAGATGGGAAGATCACTGGAGCCTGGGAGGCAGAGGCTGTAGTGACCCAAGACTGTGCCACTGCACTCCAGCCTGGGCAACAGAGCAGGACTCCATCTGAAAAAAAAAAGGGGGGGTATATTATTTAACATGGCAAACTCTTTATCAGTAGTTCCTCTCTCTCCCTTCCCTACAGGTCCATGAATCTTACTATAAGCACCTGAAGTCACTGCAGTCCAAGCTCTGAAGTGGCACAAGGACAAGTTGAATCTGCTCCAGGAAGTACTTGTGTGCAACTCAAATCTGTGTGGAATCTCTTTTGAATTCAAATAGCTATAGAGCAAATGATTAATTGACCCCTTTTTATAAATGAAGGGGAAAAAACCGAACAGATTTCAGAGATTAAATGAAAAACAGATATTTTAAGTGCAATTAACACTGAAAGAGACTTGTTAAGGATTCAGAAAAAGCTTAAGAAATTCGATTTTACTTCCTTTTGTAATGCTGCTGATCCCAATAGACTATGACTTTTGATAATTAGCAGAATTTAACTACTAAGTAGTTAATTATTTTCACATTTTAATTGCTAATCACTGGCTATATAAGGGTTTTTAAGCAAAGGTGTTTTTTGAAGTGGTATAAAACCCTTCCAAGCTTTCCTGCTCAGTGTCCTACCAGACTTAACCATGCGGGCCTGGCTTAAAAGCAGGGTTGAAGAAAAGGGACTAGGGGAAGGAAACTAATTGGGAAACTTAATGTGAATGAGTTTGTGCTTGGCACAGTCTCTGCCTGCTTGCTCTCCTTTGCTGATGGATTGCGTTTATCAAACTATTCATGCTAGCATTTTTCCAACAAGAGGACTTCTCTAGCATGGGCCTACCATTGTCTCGTGTAATTAGTAATTTTCCATTTGAAGGATCAATAAATTGTCACAGTAGTAGGAAGTGTAGGGAGAGCTCTCAGCTGTGGCACTGCTGTAACTGTGGTGACCATATTAACTGGATTTTCTGGGACAATCATATCAAATATTCTGCCATCTTGGCATAAGCCATTAAAAGCTTGGAGGTTACCATATTTGGCATTAAAAAGAAAATGTCACTTAGGTCACCTCACTCCCAAAAGTAGCACAGAAAAACCCTGTGACACAAACCATGTGTTCTGATTTTTGGTTCAGAAAATATAATCATTGAAACAATGGGTTATTTTTTAACTGAGGAAAAACAAAACCAAAAAACTATAGTTAGAAGATAAATGGAAGTTCCATGGGTTCTAGTTCTTATATGTATGGCTTTGTTTTCAGTTTATTTCTAGGAACTTCATCTGAATTGCTACATTGTCCTTTAAGTTGAAATATAATTTACACAATCATTCTCTATTTAAAGGTTAAATACATCTTATTTTTTTTCTTACAATCAATGTAAGTCACTTTTTTTTTTTTAATCTGTGTCATATGCCTCATGAAACCGCTGTTCTAGAATCAGTCGTAAGAATATGGTATAATTCCATGGAAACATAATTCTTACCTTGGGACCTGACATAAAATCTATCCTGGAGAACTGGTAATAACAGAGACTTTTAGGTTGCTGCAGAAATGCTACATGTTGACAGAAGCCTTAATCTTTCCACTGGGAGAACTAATTGATAATTGTGTTAAGATTGAAGATTAAACCTGTGTTAATCTCATGTGAGTCTGTCTTGACAGTAGTTCAGATTCTGGAAAATGATAGAAAGTAAACTTAAATGGCTTAATACTGACCTGCTAGATGTAGAATTGTTTCCAAATTAGTCATCTTATTCACAGATGACTATCTGGGCAGGATCTTAGGGTGTTTGAAATGACACCCACCTTATCCAGATGCATGGATGGGATATCTTAGCAGGTTTGAGGAGCTCATAGACACTACAGAGCCCCCTTTGACCCAGTACCTCTAGTTTTATTTAAAATCTAAATCTGACATTTGATGCTATTTTTATTAATATTTGGAATGTTCTGTCTTGAACCTTATTCAAGTATAATCAAAGAATAAAGATATAGTAAACTTCACTGATTTGTACTATTGAGAGAGAGAAAATATGCCACACAATTAAACATAGGTTTAAATTATGAAGAAATGTAAAATAAAGGTTTATTAGATTTCAGTAACACTAAGAACAAAAAAGAAAGCCGTGAAACCTGCCAGAGCGGATAGCTGTAAATCAGCATAATTCCTGTTGTATGTAGCAATAGTTGTGAGTGGCTCCAGTCATTTTAGGAGTCCTTGGAAGTATCTGGTACACATTTGTTGGCTGCACCTTAAAGGAAGTGGCAGGTCCAGTTTGTTCTCTCTACCACACCAGACTCCACTGACAAGTTTGGGTCCATTGGATTCAAAATTTTGTGAGCCATTTCACAAGTACAAAGTTAGATTTTAACCTTGTCTTCTCCAAAATTAGTAGAATTTTTATTTTTTATTTTTATCTTTTTGAGATGGGATATCATCCTGTCACCCAGACTGGAGTGCAGTGGTGGAATCTTGGCTTATGGCAACCTTTGCCTCCTGGGTTCAAGTGGTCCTCCCACCTCAGCCTTCTGAGTAACTGGGACCACAGGCACATGCCACCATACCCAGCTAATTTTTTCTTTTTTTGATGGGGGGTTGGGGGGGCCGGAAGGCTCGCTCTGTTCCCCAGCTGGAGTGCAGTGATGTGATCTTGGCTCACTGCAACCTCCTCCTCCTGGGTTCAAGTGATTCTCCTGCCTCAGCCTCTAGACTAGCTGGGAATACGGCATTTTTAGTAGAGATGGGCTTTCACCATGTTGGCCAGACTGGTCTCGAACTCCTGACCTGGTGATCTGCTCACCTCGGCCTCCCAAAGTGCTAGAATTACAGGTGTGAGCCATTGCGCTGGGCCAGTTTGTTCTTTTTTTGTAGAGATGGGGTTTTGCCATGTTGCCCAGGTTGGTCTCAGACTCTGGGCTCAAGCAGTCATCCTGCCTCAGCCTCCCAAAGTGCTAGGATTACAGGTATGAGCCACAGCACCTCACCCAGAGTGAGTAGAATTAATGAGATTTTTTTTGTGTGTGTTAGATGATATTGATTTAAGCCTTTTTTGGAAAAAAGTACTCTCAACAGAATACAAAATGGAAAATTTGAGGTTTAATAGAGATGTGTTGGCTATCTGCAATGAATTGTTCTTGCTCAAGTGTTTGGAGTTCTACTTTATGCTTCGTGTTTATGAATATGAATGAGGTCATTTTACTGACCTCAAAGCAGAGTTGGTGTTATTGTCTTTAGAATATACCACTACTAAGTATCAGCTTATCTTCAGAACATTACAACATTCACTGTGTTCATATGCTGTTATTACAAGAAGTCACCACTTGTTATTTCAGATTACATATACCTGAAGGCATTTTACAGTTCCTAAAGAACATGTTAGATCTTTTTTTTCCACCCCGTGAAGGTCTCTCTTTTCCAGGCTGCAGTGCAGTGGTGTGATTGTAGCACACTGGCCGCCAATTCTTAGGCTCAAGTGATCCTCCTGCCTCGGCCTCTGAGAAGCTTGGATTACAGGTGCACACCACCACACCTGGCTAATTTTTAATTTTTTTTATATTTTAGAGATAGGGTCTGGCTGTATTACCTTGGGCTGTTCTTGAACTCCTGGTCTCAGGTGATCCTCCCCGCATGGGCCTCCCAAAGGGTTGGGATTACAGGAGTGAGCTACCGCGCTGGGCCAACATGTTACATCTTTTGTTGTTGAGACAGAATCTCACTTTTGCCCAGGCAGGAGTGCAATGGTGCAGTTTCGGCTCACTGCAACCTTCACCTCCCAGGTTCAAGCAATTTTCCCACTTCAACCTCCTGAGTAGCTGAGATTACAGGCACCCACCATCATACACCCAGCTAATTTTTGTATTTTAGGCACAGTTGGGGTTTCACCATGTTGGCCAGGTGATCTGCAAGCCCCACCCCACCCCCACCAAAGAAAGTGCTGGGATTACAGGCGTGAGCCACCACACCCAGCCAACATGTTATATCTTAATTCTTGGATTTTCTTCACTGCAGGACTTTGGGTGGAGAAATAAAACTCTCCAAATACATAATCCTGGAGATCCCTGTGAATCAATAATTATTTAGACAACTGTGGCTCGGCTCAAAATCTCTTGTCTCCCTTTTCTGAGTTCTTCATCCATCTTATTAGAAAGGAAGTGAATGTAGGTGGTCTGTAACACTTGCACATCTTTTATACGTGTAGAGGGTATGCCTGGGATATATAGGTTGTCTTCAAGCAGTAGCTGCTACTACAGCTAGAGAGAGGAGGAGTGCCAGGAAATTGATGAACTGAGACCAAGAGTCTTGATGTTCTGACTTAGATAAAATTTTTGATCATTTTCATGAAATAATGCAGGGAAGTCATTTCTGCTGTTTACTACTACGTTCTTGGAGGATTAGAACAAGTGACACCGTAATTTACTAAAATGACTTTTTATTTTAAAATACTGATGATGGAGGTTGGGTGTGGTGGCTCATGCCCGTAATCCCAGCACTTTGGGAGGCCAGCACGGGCAGATCACGAGATCAAGAGATCTAGACCATCCTGGCCAATATGGTGAAACCCCGTCTCTACTAAAAATTCAAAAATCAGCTGGGTGTGGTGGTGGGCATCTGTAGTCCCAGCTACTCAGGAGGCTGAGGCAGGAGAATCGTTTGAACCTGGGAGGCGGAAGTTGCCATGAGCCAAGATCATGCCATTGCACTCCAGCCTGAGCAACAGAGTGAGACTCTGTCTCAAAAAAAAATATGATGGGGTTTTGCTTTTAACTGTCCACACTTAACAAATTTTCCAGTACCTATTCCTGTGGTCCATGATAGTAAACATAGAAACACATAAGGAACATGGTTGGAGTTGCCAGACGTTAGCTGTTGCATATGTGCACATTCCTAGATTCTAGGGTGTTTATTTTTGCCTTAAATTTAAGTGGGTCATTGGTTGTCTTGGGAAGATCATGGAAAATTGGGGATTTTTTAAGAATTCTGAACCAAAATAACGTTTTGAATGTTTCTTAAGATTATATTTTATGTAGTAAATGTGTGATTTCCACCTTCCACATTCAGACTGCTGACCACACTTCATAAATGCCTTTTTATTTCCAATTGCTGTAGATTCAACTAAATGTATCCCTTGGGAGTGGATCATTACTTTGCTATCTTTTCCCCCCTTTGCTGTTGTGGTGTGTGTTTGGTTCATATCCGAGAAGATGCATTTATTATGTGTTGTTACCCAGCCCTGGCTTGATGGTGTCCTGTGGGGGTAGGGGTAGGAGGACGAGGGGCACCTGCCCAGAGCATGTGAATAGAACACGGTTGGCCAGCGGTGACCCGCCACCACCGCGGGTAAGCCAAACTGCAAAGCGTTCTTTCCTCTGTGAAATTGAATAACACTTAATAAAATCCATAATTAGCACATACTAGACAAAATGTTACGTATCTTTTTGTGGGGTGACAGCATTGGGCTTCATTCTGGCTGTACAGCTTTGATTGGATTATTAAACAGGAAGGTCACTTTTTGGGGTGTGGAGTAAACACGGTTGAATTTGTGGATTCACTTGTCACCCTTCCAATATCAACACATTTCTCACGCCTCCGCACCGGCCACATGTCAGCCATTAGCATTGGGCAGGAGGAACTTTTAAGTGTCCCCGGCAGTCCCTAAGAGGGCCTTTGAGTTTGAGCCTGTCGCCGTCTTCCCCGAGAGCCGTTGGGGCAGCTCCTAGCAACATGCTCGCCGCCGGCCGAGGCCTCGTCCAGCCAACGTTCTCGCGGGGCTCCCTGGGAGTTGTAGTTCCCCACGGCGTCCCCGCCTCCTCGGTGCGGAAGGGAAACCGGACCCCCGACTACAACTCCCAGGATGGCTTGGGTCCGCCTTTCCGCGGGAGGCCGCCTGGCTGAGGGTGGCTGCAGCGGCCGGAAGCCGGAGGCCTAGTTTGTCTGGGCTGGGCGATCTGAATAGAGCCGGTGCTGGTCCCAGCGGCCGCGCCTCCTGGGGCACGGCGCGTAACGGGAGACTCCGAGGCTGGGAGCTTTACAGGCTGCTCTTGGGGGCCAGATAGGCCGAGCACTCAGAAGGGTGACGCATTGAGGGGGCGCGGAGTTTCGGGACGGAGGGGCGACTCCGGGGAGGGCTTTTGCTTAGGGGTGGTCTCGGGTTCTGTAAACACCTGGTGCGCCTCTGTAGTCCCAGCTACTCGGGACGCTGAGGCAGGAGAATCACTTGAACCTGGGAGGCAAAGGTTGTGGTGAGATCGCGCCACCACACTTCAGCCTGGGCAACAGAGCAAGACTCCGTCTCAAAAAAAAAAAGAAAAGAAAGAAGAAAGAAAACAAGGATTCGGGGTGGGCTCTGTGGTAAACTCAGGTAAACTTTGCATTCCAATAACAGGACAGGCCAACACCTGGAACATAAAGATGACCCCTCTGACTTATTTCTGCCAAGACATCCTGTAGGTGGGTTTTGGTAAAGCAGAGGAGTGGAAGGAAGAGAGCTAATTCTGAGGAAGACTATTCTCAGTGGGTCAGATTTACTGCCTATGTAAAGGGAAATATTTCTACCGTCAGTGAAAATCGTGTTGCTGGACATGGTGGCTCACCTGTAATCCCAGCACTTTGGGAGACCAATGCAGGAGGATTGCTTGAGTCCCAGAGTTCAATACCAGCCTGGGTAATACAGTGAGACCTTGTCTCCAAAAATAATTTTTAAAAAAGAAAAAGAATATCATGGCAAATAGTAACCAGAGCTCACATCTGCTTTTGTGCTAAATACTGCCTAGAAAGTAGTCATGGGTGTTGCCTGGGAAAGGGCTCCAGCCTTGGAGCCAGGTACCCACCTCCTTTCTGAAATGAGTACTTGCCATTTGCCGCATCGGCTTTCAGGGTAAGGGATCATGGCCACTGCCCTTTGTTCAAATAATCGAAAAGCCTCAGAAAGCCCTGTAACTTACCTTGAGCACTTTTTTTTTCAGATGGAGTCTCACTCTGTCACCAGGCTGGAGTGCAGTGGCGTGATCTTGGTGCACTGCAACCTCTGCCTCCCGGGTTCAAGCGATTCTCCTGCCTTGGCTTCCCAAATAGCTGGAACTACAGGCATGCGCCACAACATCCAGCTAATTTTTGTATTTTTAGTAAAGATGGAATTTCACCATGTTGGCCAGGATGGTCTCCATCTTTTGACCTCATGATCCACCTGCCTCGGCCTCCCAAAGTGCTGGGATTACAGGCATAAACCACCATGCCCAGCCTTACAGCACTTTTTTTTTAAGATAGAGTCTCTCTCTGTTGCCCAGGCTGGAGTGCAGTGCCACGATATCAGCTCACTGCAACCTGCACCTCCTGGGTTCAAGCGATTCTCATGCCTGAGCCTCCCGAGTAGCTGGGATTACAGGTGCACACCACCACACCCAGCTAATTTTTGTATTTTAAAAGAGATGGGGTTTCACCATGTTGATCAGACTAGTCTCAAACTCCTGACCTCAGGTGATCCACCTGCCTCAGGCTCCCAGAGTGCTGGGATTACAGGTGTGAGCTACTGCACCAGGCCTGGAATTTTTACTTTATGGAAATAGGCTTTACCTCTTGAATGGGCAAAGTAAGAAGAGCTTTGACAACCTTTGGATTGAGATTCATGTTCTGTTGAAGCTACATTTTTTTTTTTTTTTAAATGGAGTCTCACTCTGTCCTCTGTTGCCCAGGCTGGAGTGCAGTGGCATGATCTTGGCTCACTGCACCTTCTGCCTAGTGGGTTCAGGCGATTCTCCTGCTTCAGCCTCCTGAGTACCTGGGATTACAGGCACTTGCCACCACACCTGGGTAATTTTTTTTTTTTTTTTTGAGACCGAGTTTCGCTCTTGTTACCCAGGCTGGAGTGCAATGGCGCGTTCTCGGCTCACCGCAACCTCCGCCTCCTGGGTTCAGGCAATTCTCCTACCTCAGCCTCCCGAGTAGCTGGGATTACAGGCACGCGCCACCATGCCCAGCTAATTTTTTGTATTTTTAGTAGAGACGGGGTTTCACCATGTTGACCAGGTTGATCAACATGGTGAAACTCCTGAGCTCAGGTGATCCACCTGCCTTGGATTCCCAGTGTGCTGGGATTACGGGCATGAGCCACCTCCACCTCACCCAGGCTCTTTTTTTTTTTTTTTTTTGAGATGGAGTCCCACACTGTCACCTAGTCTGGAGTTGGAATGGCGTGGTCTCGGCTCACTGCAACCTCCACCTCCCAGGTTCAAGCGAGTCTCATGCCTCAGCCTCCTGAGTAGCTGGGGTTATAAATGTGTGCCATCACACCTGGCTAATTTTTGTATTTTTAGTAGAGATGAGGTTTCATTATATTGGCCAGGCTGGTCTTGAACTCCTGACCTCAGGTGATCTGCCCACTTCAGCCTCTGAAAGTGCTGGGATTACAGATTACAGGCATGAGCCATAGCATCCAGCCAAAACTACATCATTTTTTTTTTTTTTTTAGATGGGGTCTCACTCTGTTTCCCAGGCTGGAGTGCAATGGCACGATCTTGGCTCACTGCAACCTCCGCCTCCCAGATTCAAGCAATTCTCCTGCCTTAGCCTTCTGAGTAGCTGGAATTACAGGCATGCACCACTATGCCCAGCTAATTTTTGAATTTTTATTATAGACAGGGTTTCACCATGTTGGTCAGGCTGGTCTTGAACTCCTGACCTCGTGATCCGCCCACCTCAGCCTGCCAAAGTGCTGGGATTACAGGTGTGAGCCATCATGGCTGGCCAAAGCTACATCATTTTTAAACAATCACTTTCATTTTCTTCATTAGGAAGCATGAGCCTGATTTGGGTAGAATCCAGATGAGCTGGCCAGTACTGTAAAGGAGCTTCAATCAACCCTGAGAGCCTTGAGATGGTAGGCAGAGTTCAGAGTAAGATGTATGGAAATTTGAACATGCCCCCATCCTGCATCCCCAAAAGTCTTGACTGCATGCAGCACTTTGCGGGCTGGGCGGCAAGGACCAGGATGGAGACCCTGGAGAAGAGTGACAGGAGGTGGCATTGATACCAAACTTGCGACAAGTAAGGTTGCTTCTGTGCTTCTGAGCTTCTGAGCATCCAGCTGGAAGTAGGTTTTTTTGTTTGTTTGTTTGTTTTTTGAGACGGAGTTTTGTTCTTGTTACCCAGGCTGGAGTGCAATGGCACGATCTCGGCTCACCGCAACCTCCACCTCCTGGGTTCAGGCCATTCTGCCTCAGCCTCCTGAGTAGCTGCGATGACAGGCACTCACCACCAGGCCCAGCTAATTTTTTGTATTTTTATTAGAGATGGGGTTTCACCATGTTGACCAGGATGGTCTCGATCTCTTGACCTCGTGATCCACCCGCCTCAGCCTCCCAAAGTGCTGGGATTACAGGCTTGAGCCACCGCGCACGGCATGTAGGTTTTTTGTTTTGTTTTGTTTTTGGAGACAGAGTTCCGCTCTTTTGCCCAGGCTGGAGTGCAGTGGCACAATCTTGGCTCACTACAACCTCTACCTCCTGGGTTCAAGCAATTCTCCTACCTTAACCTCCCCAGTAGCTGGGATTATAGGCATGCACTACCACACCTAATTTTTTGTTTTTGTTTTTGTTTTTTTGAGATGGAGTTTTGCTCTTGTTACCCAGGCTGGAGTGCAATGGTACAATATCAGCTCACTGCAACCTCTGCCTCCTGGGTTCAAGCAATTCTCCTGCCTCAGCCTCCTGAGTAGCTGGGATTACAGGCACGCGCCACCACGCCCAGCTAATTTTTTTTTTTTTTTTGTATTTTTAGTAGAGACAGGGTTTCACCATGTTGACCAGGATGGTCTCAATCTCTTGACCTCGTGATCCACCCGCCTTGGCCTCCCAAAGTGCTGGGATTACAGGCTTGAGCCACCGAGCCCGACCTGTATTTTTAATAAAGATAAGGTTTCTCCGTTTTGGTCAGGCTGGTCTTGAACTCCCGACCTCAGGTGATCCGCCCACCTTGGCCTCCCAAAGTACTGCGATTACAGGCGTGAACCACTGTGCCTGGTCTGGAAGCAATTTTAAGTGTCTGTTCCTGGTTATTGAGGAGTCAGGGCATGGAATAGAAGACATTTCCAGTCACATGAATCTCGGCTGGGAGGGTTTGTATGTCGTGTCTGGAAAAGAAGTGACTTCTGCCCACCCGTTGGCACCCATCACTGGTTAGTGGGGCTGTTTCCATGCTCTGAATGAGTCTGTTCTCAGAAACTCTAGGAACGTATAAAGGACTTAAATCTACAAATGCCATTGGTGCCCCTGCCTCTGGTGACTTGACAAGACAACGCAATTCATTCTGCATTTCCAGTTTCCACCTGTGTTCGCTGTTTGCTTATGTCGATGTGATTTGTTTATCCTATTTTAGGTGCCAAAAACCAAGAAGGGATGGAAAGGTGAGTGGAGAGATGGAATATTACTCTTATGCCAAATATAGGTCTTTTTCCCGGAACAATGAGATGTGTGTTTTATTTAAATGTCTTTGATAAGAGTCTCGCTGTTTTTCCCATTATTCCATCGGCTGCCTTGGTCTTCCTTATGCTACCTCACTGGTCCTCAGAGAAGTTTGGAAAAAATCCTCCTTGGGCTCTGTATCCAGAAATAGTGGTTGGGATTCAGGGTGGGAAAACAAATTCGGTATTCGCACTTAGGTTCCCCCACATGCCTCCCTCAGAAAGTGGCCATTGATGAGGATATCCAGACCAGTTCTGGGGGGCCTTTGATGGAAGGGTACAAACAGCCTACTTGTCTGAAAGTAGCTTCCCTGAGCCTAGAAATCTTGGGAACTTTTCCCAAAGAGCCGCGCTGGGCCACGTTCAGAGCCTGGAAGGCTGATCGTTGGCCAGTGTGCCATGGAAGGCAGGTAGAATACAGATTCTGTTGAAAATCTGCACCATCGTCCTTTTAGTTATTTTATTTTTTTGAGACAGAGTCTCATTCTTGTCGCCCAGGCTAGAGTACAGTGGTACAATCATGGCTCACTGCAGCCTCTGCCTCCCAGGTTCAAGAGATTCTCCTGCCTCAGCCTCCCAAGTAGCTGGGCTTACAGACCCAAATGCCACCACACCCAGCTAATTTTTGTATATTTAGTAGACATTAGGTTTCACCATGTTGGCCAGCTGGTCTTGAACTCTTGACCTCGTGATCTGTCCACCTCAGCCTCCCAAAGTGCTGGGATTATAGGCGTGAGCCACTGTGCCCGGCTGAGATAGTTATTTTAAATTTCTGCCTCTGGATGTTTCAACAAGGCAGTAAGGCTTGTGCTAGAGACTTAGAAAACATCTCGTGGCCTGTCCGGGCACGGTGGCTCACGATGCCTGTCATCCAAGCGCTTTGGAGACCTAGGCAGGCAGATCAGCAGAGGTTGTGAGTTCAAGACGGGTCTGACCAACATGAGGAAACCCCGTCTTTGAAACAAAAGCAAAAGTTAAGGTGGGCACGGTGGCTCACACCTGTAATCCTAGCACTCTGGAGGGCCAAGGTGAGTGGATCATGAGGTCAGAGGTTCGAGACAAGCCCGGCCAACATAGTGCCACCGGCTCGTTATAAAAAGAATAAAAATAGAATAAGTAAAAAAACAAAGAAAACACCTCATAGCCAATGAGAGGAGAGCCTAAGTCCCAACATCTGAAAGCCCTGAGGCCTTCTGGCAAGTCTCAAACCTTGAGGTTTTTAAGGGCCAGTCTTCCTTCCTCCTGAAGTCATGACAGTCCCTTTTCTGTTCCAGGCTCCATTGATGATTTACTCGATGACCTTCTAGGGGATGATAGTAAGTGCCCCCTTCCCAGAATCCCCTAATTTGGCCTGCTGTTGCTGTTGCTTTTTTTTTTCTCACTATGTTGCCCAGGCTGGTCCCAGGCTTCTGGGCTCAGTTGATCCTCCTGCCTCATGAACCAGAGTGCTGGGATTACAGGCATGAGCCACTACACCCAGCCTTTTTTAAAAATGGAGATATAATTTACATAGCATAAAGTCTACTCCTGTAAAGTATACAACTTAGGGGTTTTAGAATATTCACAAAGATGTACAACCATCACCACTACCTAATTCCAGAACACTTCCATCACCCCAAAAAGAAACCCCATACCCATTAGTAGTATTTCATTCTCTCCTCCCTCCAACCTTAGGCAACCACTTTTTTTTTTTTTTTTTTTTGAGACAGAGTCTCACTCTGCCACCCAGGCTGGAGTGCAGTGGCGCAATCTCGGCTCACTGCAGCCTCTGCCTCCTGGGTTCAAGCGATTCTCATGCCTCAGCTTCCAAAGTAGCTGAGACTACAGGCATGTACCACCACACCCAGCTAATTTTTGTATTTTTTGTAGAGATGGGGTTTCACCATGTTGACCAGGCTGGTCTCGAACTCCTGGCCTCAGACACCTGCCTTGGCCTCCCAGAGTGTTGGGATTACGGGCAGAGCCACCATGCCTGGCACACTTAGCTTCTCTGATGTAGCATATTTTCCATGTTTATCCATGCTGTAGCATGAATCAGTACTTTATAACTTTTTTTGTGACTAGATAATGTTCCATTGTGTGGATAAATCACATTTTGTTTAGCTGTTCATCAGCTGATGGATATCTGAGTTATTTCCACATTTTGGCTGTTACAAACGTTTATATACTAGTATACTAGTTGCAAACGTTTGTATACTAGTTTTTGGGTGGACATGTGTTTTCAGTTCTTGTGGAATTCCTGGACCCATATGGTAACTGTAGGTTAAACTTTTTGAGGAGACTGCTTTTTCAAAGCAGCTGTGCTGTTTTACATCCCACCAGCAATGTCAGAGGGGTCCAGTTTCTCTACATCCTTGCCAATAGTTATTTTCCTTCTTTTTGATTATTGCCGTCCTAGAGGGTATAAAGTGGGTATCTCATTGCAGTTTTGCTGTGCCTTTCCCTAATGACTGATGATGTTCAGCATCTTTTCATGTGTTTATTGGCCTTGTGTATATCTTCTTTGGAGAAATGTCTGTTCAGATCCTTTGCCCCTTTTAATTGGGTTACTCGTCTTTTTATGGTTGAGTTGTAAGAGTTCCTTGTATATTCTGGATGCTAATCCATATTATTTGGTTCGTGTTGGTCTGTTAAGGAGCATGGCTTCATGGTCATGCAAAGCTCACCAGGGACAGAGAGGCTTAAGTCAGGTTTCCCCCACATGGCCCCAGAGAACCAGAAAAGCGCCAGCCTACAGTTGGGCTGTGGAAAAGCAGTTGTTCCTCCTGTATTTTCTTGGGGTGTAGTTGGGTTGGGCTCTTCATTGGGTATTCGGCATTTAGAGTTGACTTTCTCCTTGGAAATGTTCCACCCTCTCTCCCATTCAGGTTTTCCAAGGGGTGACACTGGGACCTGCTTACGGGGACAGTTTCCTTCCTCCTAACACAGAGACAGCTTGGGGAGGAAGTTTGCAAGCCTTTGCATCTTGACTCCAGGTCCCTTTAGCTAAATGACACATTTTCTCTTTTCCTTTTTTCCAGTGACACTACCTGAGAAGCCTGTTAAAGTAGCTTCACGTGCCAGAGACACCACAGGTGTATCTCAGATGTCCCCTTCTTCAAAGGCTAGAACAAAGTAAGGGCGGGTCGGCCTGGGGATCTGTGACCTACTTTAGTCTAAATGCTCTTTGCCTCTCCACCCCCCACTTTCTACTTGGCATCTGCTTGCCCATTTTTTTTTTTTTTTGAGAGAGTCTCCGTAGCCCAGGCTGGAGTGCAGTGGCACAACCACAGCTTGCCACAGCCTTGACCTCTTGGGCATCAATCCTCTGACTTCAGCCTCCTGAGTAGCTGGGCCTACAGGTACATGCACCACCACACCCAGCTAATTTTTTTTTTTTTGAGACGGAGTCTCACTCGTGCAGTGGTGCAATCTCAGCTCATTGCAAGCTCTGCCTCCCAGGTTCCAGCAGTTCTTCTGCCTCAGCCTCCCGAGTAGCTGAGATTACAGGCACACACCACCATGCCTGGCTAATTTGTTATTAGTAGAGATGGGATTTCACCATGTTGGCCAGCCTGGTCTCGAACTCCTGACCTCAAGTGATCGGCCCACCTCGGCCTCCCAATGTGCTGGGATTACAGATGTAAGCCACTTCACCTGGCCAGCTCCTGCTTTTATTGAAGGAGCCTGGGGAAGTTAAAGAGAACTGCACAGGTCAGCAGTCCTGGCTTCTGTCCTACATCTGTTACTTATGGTATGACCTTGGGCAATTTCTGAACTTCTCATAGACCTACTTTTCTCATCTTCACAATTGAAGGATTGGCTGAGATCAGTGATTTTCAAATTGTGTTTGTTCTATAGCTCACCTGGCAGATGAGAGATAGGGAAGAGGTTTGTGGCCCTCCTCCCTCATGTGATCTGGAGCAGTTGTTTTTCTCTCTTATTGTTTTTGTTTTGTTTTACTTTATTTTTTTGAAATGAAGTCTTGCTCTGTCGCCCAGGCTGGAGTGCAGTGGTGTGATGTTGGCTCATTGCAGCCTCTACATCCCGGGTTCAAGTGATTCTCCTGCCTCAGCCTCCCGAGTAGCTGGGATTACAGGTGCCCGCCACAATACCTGGCTAATTTTTGTATTTTTAGTAGAGACAGGGTTTTATCATGTTGGCCAGGTTGGCCTCGAACTTCTGACCTCAAGTGATCCACCTGCCTCAGCCTCCCAAAGTGCTGGGATTACACGCATGAGCCACCATGCCCAGCCCTTTACATATTATTTTTAACAAATCTATCAGAGTTTCCTTGGACTTTCTAAGCCACTCTCCCCCGTTTTAGAGTCATCCAGTGCCCTGGGATGCAGGTAGGGGCTGATGCCTCCTCTTTGCAGGTCCTTCTTGGGAGATGGTGTCTTCAGCCCCGGGGCAGGCCTGGAAGAAGCTGATGCTGAAGTAAGGCTGGCCATTCCCCACTTCTCCACCTCTCTACTTATCCCCAGAAAAAACGAGATGGGTGTCATGGCCAATAGGCTGCCCACAAAGGGTTTAGAAATCCCTGCAAAGTCACTTTGCAAAATAATGCCCCAGAGGCTGCTGAGTGAACCCAAAGCAGCATCCTCTTTTTTTTTTTTTTTTTTTTTTTGATGGAATCTTGCTGTGTCACCCAGGTTGGAGTGCAGTGGTGTGATCTCAGCTCACTGCAACTTCAGCCTCCCGGGTTCAAGCAATTCCCCTTCCTCAGCCTCCCAAGTAGCTGGGATTACAGGTGTGTGCCACTACGCCCTGCTAATTATTTTGCATTTTTAGAAGAGATGGGGTTTTACCATGTTGGTCAGGCTGGTCTCGAACTCCTGACCTCGTGATCCACCCGACTCGGCCTCCCAAAGTGCTGGGATTACAGGCATGAGCCACCATGCTCGGCCTGCATCCTTTTTCCTGTAGTAAGATGAGTGAAAGGAGAGCTCCCTGAAACTGTTAGAGTCTTAGACGTTGCTCGTTTCCCATAATAAACTCCACAGTAGTCCATTGGCATGGGTGGGAAGGAGCAGAATTCCAGTTCTGAATGAAAGGGTTCTCCATGGTTGGGAGGAGCAGGAAGGGCAGTGCTTTTGGAGTCTCTACAACCAGGCAGGTTTGGCTTCAAACAACTGCCAAGCCCAAGCAAGTGGAACAAAGCCACCCTCCTGCGTGAGCTCCATTGGCCAGGCTCTGCTCCTGCCACGCCATATGCCCTAACAGCAGCAAGGGACCAAGGCCCTGAATTTTAATGGGCCTTGACTAGTGTGCCTTCTTGTCTGTGTCCTCACCCTCCTTGTGGACTTAGGTTTCAGGTGTCTCAGAGGCAGACCCACAGGCTCTGCTCCAGGCCATGAAGGTAAGGAAACAGCTTGCACAATTCTTAGAGCTGGGGGTGGTGTGGGGTAATGATATTTTGTGCCAAGACTTCATTCTCCCTCTAATTTCTCCCTTTACAACCTGTGTTTCTGAGCCTTTCCTCAGGCAAGCATGGAGCTTGTCTGTGAGCCATTGGCCTTCTTGCCTCTCTGGGTATCAACCAGTATTCCTGGTATATGGAGAGTGGAGGCTGCCAATGCTGGGCGCGGTGGCTCACACTTGTAATCCCAGCACTTTGAGAGGCCGAGGTGAGCAGATCACGAGGTCAGGAGTTCAAGACCAGCATGGCCAACATAGTGAAACCCTGTCTCTACTAAAAATACAAAAATTAGCGGGGCTTGGTGGTGTGAGCCTGTTATCCCAGCTACTCGGGAGGCTGAATCACTTGAACCCAGGAGGTGGAGGTTGTGGTGAGCCAAGATCACGCCACTGCATTCCAACCTGGGCAACAGAGCAAGACTCCATCTCAAAAAACAAAAAGAGTGGAGGCTGCCACAGGCCTCTGGGGAAGTGGGGCCAGCCCTACTTGGAGGCTCACCTGGCTGGGTCCCCTCACCTCCACAGGGGACAGAGGGGGAGACTGTCTCCTCTAATGCTTGCTCTTCACCTTTCTCCATATTTCCACATCCCCAGCCAAGCCCCTTCAATACTGCTGTCTTCTCATCAGATAAATCCAGTGCTGATCTTTGCAGTGGAATTTTAAGGCACAGATTCTGAACAGTTTATAAGAACATAATCTCTAGCTTGGCCTAGGACATCTTGTTTTCCTCTCCTTGCAGCCAGCAGTACTCTCCTGTCTGACCCTGGGTTTTTTTTTAATCCCTTTTGGTTAACCCATTTTGCCACGGTCCCTAGGAGAAGGCCAAGGTTTTGGTTACAGCCCAATGGGGCGCTTGTTTTTTTGGTTGTTTTTCCTTTGTGTGTGTGTGTGTTTTTTTTTTTAGAGACACCATCTCATCTGTCACCCAGGCTGCCAGGCTGGAGTCCAGTGCTGTGATCTCTCGTTGCAACATTAAACTCCTGGCCTTAAGTGATTCTTTTACCTGGGCCTCCTAAAATACTGTAATTACAGTCACGAGGCACCACATCCAGCCCAGATTCATCTTCTTTAACCTCATCTGGAAGTCTTTCTCCTCAAAGGCCAGGCACAGTCAGTCATACCTGTAATCCCAGAACTTTGGGAGGCCAAGGCAGTAGGATCGCTTGAGCCTAGGAGTTGGAGGCTGCAATGAGCTATGCTTATACCACTGCACTCCAGCCTGGGTGACAGAGTGATATCCTGTCTTTTTTTTTTTTTTTTTTTTTTTTGAGACAGAGACTCAGTCTGTCACCAGGCTGGAGTGCAGTGGTGTGATCTTCGCTCACTGCAACCTCGGTCTCCCAGGTTCAAGCGATTCTCCTACCTCAGCCTCCTCAGTAGCTGGGATTACAGGCAAGCGCCACCACGCCCAGCTAATTTTTGTATTTTTAGTAGAGATGGGGTTCACCATATTGGCCATGATGGTCTGGATTACTTGACCTTGTGATCCACCTGCCTCACCCTCCCAAAGTGCTAGGATTACAGGCATGAGCCACCGTGCCCGGCCTTCATTTTCTTTCTTAACTCAGTTTTTTTTTCAGTAGTTTTCTCATTTTCCTTCGTTTTCTCACAATTCCGCCTCTGGTGTGCCAACAGCCCTTCTCTCTCAGGTGGAAGTCCTCGCCCCCTCATCAGACATCATCCTCTGCCCTCCCTCCCTGGTTTTCTAGGACCTGGATGGCATGGATGCTGATATCTTAGGTCTGAAGATGTCTAATCCAGCCCCTAGCAAAAAAGCTGCAAAGGACCCTGGGAAAGGAGAGCTGCCCAACCACCCCAAGCCTGCGGGTGAGTCAGTAGCCAGTGAGAAAGGTGCAGGGGAGATGGCTCCTCGAATTTGCTAGGGAGACTTTGAGGACATGGAAAATGCTAGAAGGAAGCATTTATGTCCTTGGGTTATCTCTGCGTGGATGGAGAGGCCAAGGAGCAGTTGTACATGTGTGTGTGTGAGTATGTGTGGAGGGGTAAGGAAACCTTGAGTTTCCTCCCTTCCTCGAGCTGTTCCAGTCCCTCCGAGTCCAACATGGGCAGCTCCTGGAGAAGCTGTGTGAGTTGAAATGGAGAACTCTATGGTAGCCTGTGCCTCTCCTGAACCCATGTGTCTGGAGTGACTCATGATGAGACAGCAGAGGTAGCTCCTACCATGTTTCCCTGGCAGAAACCCATAGAAGAACATGGGCTGTGCCCATGGCCATGAGCCCCCAGCTTCCCAGGAAGAAATGCACCCATCCCAGGGGCCCGGTCCATGGTGTGGGAGGAGAACTTTGGCCAGGAGAGACCCAGGCCCACGACCTTGTCTTCTGTTTCCTGCAGGGGGTGCCATTCCCATCAAGCAGTCACCTCCATCTCCCAGCAGCTCTGGGCATCAAAACAGAAGGTTTTCCTCTGAAGGTACCATAGGCTCCCGTCATGCCTCTGGGACACTCTGGTTTGGGGGTGGATCAGCCTGAGACACGTGCTGGCCCGAGGCCTAGCTGCTGTGCTGCATATGTTACGTGGGGAGCAGAGAGTTGGTGCCACTGGTGTAGTTCCTCATGAATTCATGTCGGGATCAGTTATACGATATTGGCTAAGATATTAGGGAACTTATTTGCAAAGGCCTTAAAGCCAGACATCACACTGAAGATTTTCCAAAGTATAGGAAGAAGTCCTTTTCATGTAATGAATGTGTGGATTTTTTTTCTTTGTTTTTTTTTTTTGCTGTGCCCAAAGTTATCTCGAAAAATGGAGAATGTGTGAATGTTTTACTTCTCTTCTGATGCCTTCGGGACATTTCTAGAAGGCCATGCAGGCTGCAAGTCAGAGGCCCTACAGGCAAGCCTAAGGCAGGCTCATAAGCCCAGGGCAAGCCTCTGACTCCCTATCCTCTTGCCCAGCCCTTTCATGTTCCCCCAGGCCCCACCCTTGAGATGCCAGGGGGCTTTTTGTGTACTGGAGCAGATAGAAATTTATTTATTTATTTATTTATTTTTGGAGATGGAGTCTTGCTCTGTCGCCCAGGCTGGAGTATAAGTGGATCTCCACTTACCGAAACCTCTGCCTCCCAAGTACAAGCGAGTCTCCTGCCTCAGCCTCCTGAGTAGCTGGGATTACAGTGTGCACCGCTATGCCCAGCTAATTTTTTGTATTTTTAGTAGACATGGGTTTTCACCATGTTGACCTACGCTGGTCTCGAACTCCTGACTTCATGATCTGCCCACCTCGGCCTCCCAAAGTGCTGGGATTACAGGCGTGATGGCCTGGAACAGCTAGAAATCTCGACTCGAGGGCTGCTCCCCCAGTTCAGGCTTTTCCTGAACTCAGTGCTGCAGCCTGACCTGTGCTTTCCCTTCTGCTGGGAGACTTGGAGGACCCATTGGCAGGACTTCTCTCCTATGATGAAGGAGGAATCACTAAGAAGCCACCTGTGACAGAGAGCAAAATAGCTTCTGACAAGAGCCCCGGCACAGTTAGAGATCAAGGTAGGGTGGACTGGGCTCATTTCTCAGCCGGGGGGAACAGTTTATTGGCAACAGGCTGACCATCCTTTCAGGTTCAGAACCAGGGGCCTCTCCCAGGTGGGGACTAGAAGTCTAAGGTCCAGTACAAAGAGATCATCATCAGTCTTCAGGAACAGGGAGGTGGGATGCCTCATGAGCCTGGGAGTAGGCTGGGGGAGTTGGGTCCTGTGGACAGACCAGACAAGTCCAAAGCCTGCCATCCTAACCAAAGGTACAGAGAAACCACCCCCAACCCATTCAGATATCATAGTTAAGGGCAAGCAGGCTGTGGACACTGGGCCTTGTGTTCTGTCTTTTAGGTCCCTCTATTCCTCTAACTCCTGGTGACACCCCCATCCGAAAAAAAGAAGAATTGTTTGATGATGGAGATGACATCATGGCCACCTTGGGATTTGGAGACAGCCCAAAAGCAGAGAAGAGGCAGATGGGAAACCAGTAAGAATCCCTATGAGTAGAGGGCCCTGGCCAGGCTGCTGCTTCTGGTTCAGGGCAAAGCTGATAGACAGGTACAGTGGGGGTCCCAAGAGCCCCTCATACCCACATGTTCCTGCCCTGTGTCCCGTCCTGCAGGGAAGGGCCTCGCCCTGCTCGCTCCACGCTGGATGAGCTGCTGGGTCGAGGCACGGCAACCAAACTCCTGACCCGCCCAGGCACAGGGGAGCGCAGGGAGTTCAAGCTAGATAAGAAGTACCAGAGGCCACAGGGTAAGGAGGATTTCGGGGGATGCAACGGGAGGGAAGGGAGGCCTCTAGACCAGGCTTTCATCACAACCTGTAATAAGAAGTCAGCTTCACATTCGGATACACATGTGATTCTCCACGTCTGTAACTAAGACAGAAGCATCATGAAATATCACCATGACCACTGTTCGTGCTCGGTCGTCTGTGATTGATGCTGTTTGATCTGGAAATACACTGGCTGTGACACATTCAGCTGGTTTCTCCGGCCTCTCATGGGTAGCAGCTTGCATTTGAAAAGCACTGCTCTGGCTAGTGTATCTCAAAGTGTTGGCCCACAAGCTGTTGGCTGAGAATCATTCTGGCTTTTTTTGTTTTTTTGTTTTTCTGAGACCAAGTCTTGCTCTGTTGCCAGGCTAGAGTGCAGTGGCACAATCTTGGCTCACTGCAGCCTCCACCTCCTGGGTTCAAGCAATTCTCCTGCCTCAACCTCCCAAGTAGCTGGGATTATAGGCACTTGCCACCATGCTCAGCTAATATTTTTTGTATTTTTAGTAGAGACAGGGTTTCACCACATTGGCCAGGATGGTCTCAATCTCTTGACCTTGTGATCTGCCTACTTTGGCCTCCCAAAGTGCTGGGATTACAGGCGTGAGCCACCGTGCCTGGCGAGAATCGTTCTTGTGACACATGCAGTTCACTGGGCCTGACCTCGAAGGATCCCGGTGTAGGGCCTGGCTGCCACAAGGCCACTGCATCTTCCTGGCTGGGGCCTGAGGTGCTCCCTTCACAGCAGCTTCCCTCTGCTTGTCTTATACAACAAGCTACCAAATTCAGCTGTTGTTAGAATTCTGCAGCCACAAATGAGCTTGGTTCCCCTACTCCAGATTATGATCACAGGCTCCTTAATTCACAGACAGCGAAGATGCATGGGGTGACGAGGACTTCACCTTCGGAGCCTATCAGCCCACTATGGGCTCTTCTGAGGGCCGGCATTCCCGCCGGCAGTCTGTCAGGTAAGTGGGGCCTGCAAGGGGCTTGGCCTCTGAGACAGGCTGACCACTGGGAAGACAGGCCCCTGCAGCTGTCCCCCATCCCACCCGAGAGTCTCGTGTGGGAGGTCACAGTGTGCAAGGCCCTCCACTCTGCGAGGGCTGAAGGAAGTGGGAGGTAGCCTGGTCCCGCCAGCCCAGACAGAGTTGTGGAGATGGTCCCAGTGGGAGACCCATCCCAGCCGCTGCTCAGGTTCGCCAGTGCCCTACCCAGCCTCAGAAGGAAGGGAGCAGGTGGGCTGGTCTCCGTCTAAAGCCCCTGAAGTCATAAAAGGCCGTCATGTCAGGCTGGGCACGGTGGCTCACGCCTGTAATCCTGGCACTTTGGGAGGCCAAGGCAGGTGGATCACAAGGTCGAGACATCGAGACCATCCTGGCCAACATGGTGAAACTCTGTCTCTACTAAAAATACAAAAAAAATTAGCTGGCCATGGTAGCATGCACCCATAGTCCCAGCTACTCAGGAGGCTGAGGTAGGAGAATTGCTTGAACCTGGAGGCGGAGGTTGCAGTGATCTGAGATCACACCACTGCACGACAGCCTGGCAACAGAATAAGACTCCGTCTCAAAAAAAAACTATAATAATAAAAAAAGGCTCTGCTGTTACTCAGTCTCCCTAAGGAACACCATATATCCTGACAAGTAGCAAGACCACTGGCCTCTGCAGGGGCTTCTCACACCCCGCTTCCCAGGAGCTCTGCTGTCAAACCTGCCGTGACCATTCTGACAGCATAATCCTCCCAGTTTACAACAAAAAAATTAAATCAATGATAGGATTTTCTGAGTTTGGAGTTTTTTCCCAGTATATATTTTAAACTTTGTATTTTGAAGTAATTTCAAACTTCCATAATCGGCTGGGTGCAGTGGCTCCTGCCTGTAATCCCAGCAGTTTGGGAGGCAGGTTGATCACCTGAGGTCCGGAGTTCGAGACCAGCCTGGCCAACATGGCGAAACGCTGTCTCTACTAAAAATACAAAAATTAGCTGGGCAGGGTGGTGGGCGCCTGTAATCCCAGCTACTCAGGAAGCTGAGGGAGGAGGCGGAAAGTTATGGTGAGCTGAGATCACGCCACTACACTCTAGCTTGGGCAACAGAGGGAGACCCTGTCTCAAAAAAAAAAAAACTTCAGAAGTTGTAAAAACAACACCAGGTGCTCCCTTCTCATCCTTTCCCAGGCTCAGCAGTTGTTGCCATTATGCCAGGGTGGCTTCCTCAGCCTCTTTCTATCTGAAGAGCTCTATGTACATCGATATTTCTTCCCACACCCAGTACCTCCTTAACCCTGGGAACCTGCCGCCACTGGTCAGTGACAGATGAAGGCCATGGCTGAACAAATGAAGTAACAGAGTGGCTGTTGGTAGAAAGCCTGGAAACCACTTGATTTGACTTATTTTTTATTTTATTTTTTTGAGATGGAGTCTCTCTCTGTCGCCAGGCTGGAGTACGGTGGCACCATCTCAGCTCACTGCAACCTCTGCCTCCTGGGTTCGAGCAATTCTCCTGCCTCAGCCTCCTAAGTAGCTGGGATTACAGGTGCCCATCACCATGCCCAGCTAATTTTTGTATCTTTAGTAGAGATGGGATTTCACCATGTTGGCCAGGCTGGTCTCAATCTCCTGACCTTGTGATCCGCCTGCCTCAGCCTCCCAATGTGCTGGGATTACAGGCATGAGCCACTGTGCCCAGCCGTTTATTATTTTTAGACAGAGTCTCACTCTGTCGCCGAGGTTGGAGTGCGGTGGCATGATCTCAGTTTCCTGCAACTTCTGCCTCCCAGGTTCAAGCAATTCTCATGCTTCAGCCTCCCAAGTACCTGGGATTACAGATGCCCGCCACTATGCCTGGCTAATTTTTTTGTGTTTTTAGTAGAGATGGGGTTTTACCATGTTGGCCAGGCTAGTCTAAAACTCCTGGCCTTAAGCAGTCTGCCCACTTTGGCCTCCCAAAGAGCTGGGATTACAGGCATGAGCCACCACACGCGGCCCGATTTTTCTTTAGACCTGTATGCCTGCGGCTGTCATTTGATCCTGTTCTCTGTGGGTAGAACTGTCCCTAGTTCATGTGATGGAAGTCAAGGTCTCTATACTTCTTGGTGTTCTATAGACAGCACAGGGTCTGCCACCTAAGCCAGTCTAGAAGCCACTGCTCACTGGGCCTCAGCTGACTGTGCAGGGTCCCTGGGCATCGTGACGCCCAGCCACAGGCTGCTAGGGGGCCACTAGGACTGACTGCTTCCCCTCCCTGACATTCTCCTTTCTGTCTTGAAGTAGGTTCTTAGCAGACAGTGGCCCAGACCTCAAGGGAGAACCAGGCTCCAGACAGAGCCCTCCAGCCACTTCCAGCCCCATCCAGCCCAGGAAGGGAGGAGCTGACTGGCTGGGCCTCAAGGACGATGACTTGGACCTGCTCCCTGCCTCACCCACCAGAGAGGCATGTCGGGAAAGCTCAGCACTTGCCATGCCCTTAGTGCCTCCTCCTGAGAGCAAGCACTCTGCACCAGCTGGGCTGCCCCTCTCCAAGGCAAAGCCACCAACCGAAGGTGCAGGGTCCCCTGCCAAAGCCAGCCAGGATTCCAAGCTGCAAGCCTCCGAGAAGGAGGAAGAAGACTGGCTGAGCCATGCCCTGTCTCGGAAGAAGTCCCAAGGCCTGGCCAGAGAGCAGGGTGCTGGGGCCTCTGAGGGCCTGAGTTTTGCAGGGACAGTGGGCCATCCCCCTTCTGACAGGTACGGGCTTGGGCTGCTATGGCTTGTAGGGGGACTTGAGGGGCCCCTTTGCCCCTCACCTGTTGCAGCCTCAGTTGGGAACAAGGCAGCGCGCCGTGGGCACAGAGGCCGTTTCTTGGCTTTGCTACTCTGCCTTTTGGGCACTGCAGAGAGAGCCTCTGGCTCCCTGGCTTGCCCCAGGGACAGACCCAACAGGTCGGGGGAGCTGTTGACATTTGTGCCCTGATTGCCATGGGGACAGGTGCTAACTTGATTGGGCAGAACAGAGGATACCTGAGGTGGCAGACACACCACTGTCCTGCCTCTGAGCAGTGCCCTGCCACAGCGTCCTCAGGCTGGCAGCCTCAGCGTCCAAACCACTGGTGCTTCTGCCAGCTCCACTGAAGTAAATATGGCGTGTGTGAGCTGAGATGTCCCTGTGCTCTTTGAGAGCGTTAGAGGAGACACAGTGGTCCAGAGGCACCTCCTGGAGAAGCCACAGAAGGGCAAGCCGTGGGACAGGACAGTGAGCGACCTCTGAGGGCAGGAAGGCACAAGGGCCAGCAGGCTGGGGGAAATTATGAGCAGCAATGTGGCCCAAGCCCAGGGAAGTGAACTGGGCAATTTGTGACAGCCCAGGAACATCACCCAGTCCTGGGATTGATGTCAGGAGGGCACTTTTGACATTCACCTGAGACTGAGGGGAAAGCTGAGGCCAAAACAGAAGAGAGCCTGTGTCTTCACTGACCCATGAGCTGAGAAAGAGGTAGAAATAACAGGAAAGGGAGCCAGCCAGACTTGGGAGACTGAGCAGAGCCTTACTCTAGAGCTGAGCCAAGTTAAATGGGCTGGAACAGGGATGCTGAGGCAGGAAGGGGGTACTTGAAGGGAAGAGATGCCCACAGATCCCAGGAGCTCAGACTTGGGAGGAGAACAACCCAAGACGGGATGGTGGGAGCAAGAGAAAGGGCAGCCATGAGCTTCATGTGTGAAGCCTGTCCTGGGCCCCATCTTCATCCAGCCTGACCTGGGCTTTCTGTCACCTTCACCTTGAAGGCTGCCTTTTCTCAGCCAACCTCTCACCAGCATGCCAGGACTTGAGCAGGCAGCTGCTGGAGGAAGCTCTGGAACAACCGCCGGAGAAAGACCGTGTGCCAGGCCTGGCGTCTCGGGGTAGGCCCGGGCTGCAGACTGAGCAGAGTGAGGGCACAGTGGGTAGCACTCCGTCCTTAGAGAGGGACAGCAGACAACCATGTGGAGACCCAATACAATTAACCGTGGTGTTCAACCCCTGCTCCAGGCACGCTGGTGGAAGAGCTTTCTGAAGTGCAGGGGACTCTGTCCTCTGCCTACCACCAGCACAACTGAGACTCCTTAGTCAGCTGTCAGTTGAACCCGAAGTTTTCCTTTACTCCTGGTGCCAACCCCCGTCTCCGTGTCCCACACAGGCTACTCTCCTTGCCCTGTCTCCGAATCCCACAGAGGCTGCTCACCCTCCCCCGTCCCAATCTCCCACACAGAGCTAGTTACTTTGTCCTGTCCCATACAGAGGCTGTTTGCCTTGCCCCATCCCCATATCCCACATAGAGGCTGCTCACCTTGCCCCGTCCCTGTGCCCTCAGGTCCCCTGTGACTCAGAAACATGCTGCCTCGGCACTCCCTGCAGGCTCCCCAAAGCGGGGAGCAGCCCCTGGAGACATCTCGGCCACGGGTTTGTTTGTTGTTTTCTGCTTTATTTGGGAGTTTAACCTGGGCAAAGAAGAGGTGCTTTGAGCTTCCTTTGGGGTCCCTGGGACATGAGTGACACCAGCCTCTCCTGGATACTTGCAGCCCACAGCCCTGGGCCACCCTGCTCATTTCCCTGCTGCTGATGTTTCAGAGCCTGCCATGTGTTTCCCGAGCACCCAGGAGCCCACAGAGCCTTCTGTGCCCGTCCAGGTAGGGGTGCATGCACAGAGGCAACACCAACACTTTGACCTGATGACCTGCCAGGAAAAATATGTCAGACATACCAAATGTGGTGTCGGCCACCTCCCCTGGCACCTCTCACCAGCACTTGCCTGAACTTCTAGCCTCACTGCTCCCAGGCAGAGTTGGGTGTTAATTTCCCTACATCAATGGGAATTCGAAGAGGTAGCCAGGCTGGGGAGCTGGGAATGCTGCTGTCAGAAAGCAGGGCTGCAGGGACCTCTTCTGTCTAGAAAGCCGCCTCCACCCCTGCCATTCTCCTGCCACACCTCTGCCTCTGTTTCCATGTGTGGCAGTCACCTGTGACACCTGAGCATGGGAGGTGTGGCCCCCAGGAGTGTGTCCCTGGGAGATGGTGGGTAGAGGGCAGCTTGTGGAAACCAGATTAGTGTTAACATGTGGGCTTCAGGGCTAACAGGAAAAGCCAGCGTCAGCATTTGTCAGCGGAGACTCAGCTGGGGCTCAGCCCCAGTCTGGGAAGCCGGAGATCATGCTGGGGAGGAAGCTCTTTTGAGGGGTGGAGGGAGACGCATGCTCCTGACCGGACCTGCAAGGGGAAGTACACTGGGGACTGCTCAGCCACAGTGACTGTGACTCTCCAAGGCCTTGGCCCTATCTGCAGCCACAGATCAGGTCCAGTGAGCAGAGATCCAGGAGGTAGCTGATCCCAGCTGGGTCCGTCCCTCCCTAACCAAGAACACCTCTCATCCTCTCCTACAGCCCCTGCTCCCAGAGTCCCTGGCCCTGAGCCTGCTGCCAGGCACAGAATACCAGAAGCAGCTCCTGGCAGCACAGGTGAAGCTTCAGAGCAGCACCGCAGAGCTCCAGGCTGCGCTGCTGCAGAGCCAAGCCCGGCTGGCAGAGCTGGAGGCCCAGGTGAGTGGCAGCGGGGTTGCTGGCATTGGGGGCAAAGTTGTGACGGGAGGGGTCACCGAGAGACTGAGAGTATCGGGAAGCATCCCCAGGAGGAAGGAGGGGCTGTTGGCACAGGGCAGCGTAGAGCACAGCCACCTCCCCTCCCTAATCGCTGGCCCTCCTGCCGTCTCCCAGGTGCGGAAGCTGGAGCTGGAACGGGCCCAGCGTGAGCTGCTGCTGGGGAGTCTGCAGCAGCAAAACCAGGCAGACCTGGAGCTCATCGAGAATGCACACAGGTACCCCAGCACCAGCCCCAGCTCTGCCTTGACTCTCTCGCTGACCTCAAAGGCCACCCCAGTGTGCTTGGAGAGGCCTTTAGGTGGCAGCCCTCTACCTTCCTCATGCCATGGCTGGGTGTACTGTTGGCAGAAGCCACATCAAGGTGCTAGAAATATCGTACCAGCAGCGGGAGGAGCGTCTCCGGAGAGAGAACGAGGAGCTGTCAGCTCGGTATCTGTCGCACTGCCAGGAGGCCGAGCAGGCCCGTGCTGAGCTCACCGCCCAGTACCAGCGGCGCTTGGCAGCTGCAGCACAGGAGAAGGACCAGGAAATGGAGCGGCTCCGGGAGCTGCAGCGGTGAGGCCCAGGGACAGGCAGTTGGGGATGGGCTTGCAAGGACTGGCCAGAAGGCAGCCATCCTCACGAGACCCTCTGCTGTGGCTCAGCAGCCCTTGGACAGGGATTTGAGCCCTTCCCTCCCAGCCCAATGAGTGAGGACTGAGGGCTGGGCAGACTGACCCATTACACACATGGGTGGAGTGCCACCTGCTCTTACAGAGGCAGGATGCGGTATCCACAGGCTGTCCACGCACCGCATGGCAGCAGCAAGCCCCCCAGGGCCTAACTAAGCACAGGGTAATCCACTCACCAGCTCACGCAGTAGAGGCTAGAGATGAGGTCTGCCTGGGAAAGGCTTGCACTGTTGTGCCTGCCATGTTGATAGGGTTGCCTTTATAGAAGAGAAGGAAGCTAAGAAGTTATCTAAGGGAGTCAGAGGTCTCACTCTGTCACCCAGACTGGAGCACAGTAGCACGATCTCGGCTCACTGCAAACTATGCCTCCTGGGTTAAAGCAATTCTCCTGCCTCAGCCCCCAAAGTAGCTGGGACTACAGGCGCCCACCACCATGCCTGGCTAATTTTTGTATTTTTAGGTGAGATGGGGTTTCACCATGTTGGCCAGGCTGGTCTTGAACTCCTGAGCTCATGATCTGCCCACCTCAGCCTCCCAAAGTACTGGGTTTACAGGCATGAGCTGCCACCATGCCTGACTCAGAGCTCAGGGCCAGGCACAGTGGCTCACACCTGTAATAATCAGCACTTTGGGAGGCCAAGATGGGAGGATCACTTGAGGCCAGGAGTTTGAGACCAGCCTGGGCAACACAACGAGACCTTGTATCTAAAAACAGTTTTTAAATTAGCTGGGCATGATCGTGACTTGGGAGGTTGAGGTGGAAGATACCTTGGGCCCAAGACGTCAGGCTGCAGTGAGCTTTGATTATGCCGCTGCACTCCAGCTGGGACCACAGAACAAAACCCTGTCTCTAAAAGAATTAAAAAAAAAAAAAAAAAAAAAAAACTACTTTGGGAGGCGAAGGCAGGAGGATTGCTTGAGGCTAGGAGTTCAAGACCAGCCTGGGCAATATAGCGAGATCTCATGTCTACAAAAAGGAAAAAAGAAAAGAAAGAAAGACAGCTCAGGTTGGCCAGACTCAAAAGAAGTGCACACATGGCTCTATGTAAAGTGCTCTTTGCTGAATAACTGGAGTAATCTCCATCTTAGTGCATGTAGCATTGAGGCACCATGACAGATAAGACAGAGGAGCTGGGGAAACTGAGGCAGTGCCCAGAGGAAGAGAGGCCTGGGAGCAAGGGCTGCTTCGAAGCATGCCCTTCCACAAGGAGCTGCTGTGTCTGGGTGGTCCTGCTCAGATTGGCTGTGGGCCTTCCCCTTCCACTTCCCCACAGGGCATCCATCCTGGAGATGCGCAGAGACCACGAGGAGCAGCTGCAGCGGCTGAAGCTGCTGAAAGACCGAGAGGTCGATGCGGCCACCAGCACCACCTCCCACACATGGTATGTGTGCTGCCCCAACTGTGCCCGCCTAAGGGTGGGGGCTGGGGGGTCCCGAGGCTTTCAGGAGGTGGTGACCCAGCCTCCTTTCAGGTCCCTGAATAGCATCATCCACCAGATGGAGAAGTTCTCCAGCAGCCTGCAGGAGCTGTCCTACCGCATGGAGGCCTCACATCTCACCAACTCCCAGGAGCGGGAGCTGGGGATCCGGCAGCGGGACGAGCAGCTGCGGGGTACGCCCTCCCTCTCAGACCCCCAGACCCCTGGTGGGAAGAGGAGCAGTTGCCAGCACCCTGTGGGTTGTCCCCAGCACTGCAGGAGCGGCTGGGCCAGCAGCAGCGGGACATGGAGGAGGAGCGGAGCTGGCAGCAGGAGGTCATCGGGAAGATGGAGGCGCGGCTGAGTGAGCAGAGCCAGCTGCTGGAGCAGGTGAGGCCCATCCTCCTGGCCCTCCTGCCATGGGGCCTCTCCTCCAGGGCACCCGCAGGTGTGGCGACACTCTCCTGACCTCACCTCCTCAGAGGTCAGCGCCGGGGCTTGACTCTCCTGTGGGCATCCTCCCTGCTACTTCCTGCCTCTGCGTCTCCCTGTCCCGGCCAGGCCCTCAGCATTGCCCACCTGAGCACACAGGCGCCACCTGGCCAGGCCCCCACTACGCTCTGCCTGCTCCTCACCACCGCAAGTCCCTCAGCCACCCTGGCCTTGCTCCACAGTCTAAACCCTGCAACCATCAGCTGCACTCAGAGCTGTCCCCTTACCCAAGCCCTGTGACATTCGGACAGATGCTCTTGCCTGTTAAATGTTATCCTAGCCTCTTCAGCTCTAACAGACATTTGAACTCCCTAAATACCTTTCATATATAAGCACACACTTTAATTAAATAATAATAACCTCATCCAGGCATGGTGGCCTGTGCCTGTAATCGCAGCTACTTGGGGAGCTGAGGCAGGAGGATCACTTAAGTCCAAGAATTTGAGACCAGCTTAAGCAACATAGTGAGAGCCCATCTCTTTTTTTTTTTTTTTTGAGAGAAGGAAAGAAAAGAAAAAAAAATAAGTAAAGGAGAGGAAGAGAAAGAGGGAGAGTAAATGGAAATATTGCTTTATTTTGAAAAAAATTGGGTATTAATAATGGCCAATCAATGTTTCATTTAAACTTATGGGTAGGTGTGATGTGGTATTGACAAGAATGTATATTTTGTGTATTTGAAGTGGGGAGCTCTATAAATATTTATTAAGTTTACTTGTTCTGGATCTGAGTTCGAGTCCTTGATATCCTTATTAATTTTCTGTCTCATTGAATCTAAGTCTCGTATCTGGGTGTTAGGATCGTTAGCTCTTGTTGTTGCATTGATCCTTTTACCACTTATCTTTGTTGCTTTAAAATCTATTTTATCCGATACGAGAATTGCAACTCCTGCTTTTTATTTATTTATTATTTATTTTTGCTCTCCATTTGGTTGGTAAATCTTTCTCCATTCCTTTGTTTTGAGTCTTTGTGTATCCTTGCATGTGAAACAGGTCTGGATGTAACATGCCATTGGGTTTTGGCTGTGTCTTTTGATTGGGGGATTTAGTCAATTTAAATTTAGGGTTACTGCCATTTGATGCTGACCGGCTGTTTTATCCATTCGTTGGTGTAAATTCTTCTTTATGTTGGTGCTCTTTACTTTTTGGTGTATTTTTAGAAAGGCTAATACTGGTTGTTTCTTTCTGTGTGTAATGCTTCTTTCAGAAGCTCTTGTAAAGCAGGCCTGGTGGTAATAAAATCTCTGAGTTCTTGCTTGTTCATAAAAGATTTTATTTTTCCTTCAGTTGTGAAGCTTAGTTTGGCTGGATATGAAATTCTTGGCTGAAGGTTCTGTTCTTTGAGGATGTTGAATATTGGCCCCCACTCTCTTCTGGCCTGTAGAGTTTCTGCCGAGAGATCTGCTGTAAGTCTGATAGGTTTGCCTTTGTGGGTAACCTGACCTTTCTCTCTGGCTGCCCTTAGTATTTTCTCCTTCGTTTCAACCCTGGTGAATCTAACGATTATGTGCCTTGGGGTTGCTCTTCTTGAGGAATATCTTTGTGGTGTTCTCTGTATTACCTGGGGTTGAATGTTGACCTGCTTTGCTAGTTTAGGAAAATTTTCCTGAATAATATCCTGAAGGGTATTTTCCAGCTTGGATTCATTCTCTCCGTCGCATTCAGGTACACCTATCAAACGTAAATTTGGTCTTTTCACATAGTCCCACATTTCTTGGAGACTTTGCTCATTCCTTTTTATCCTTTTTTCTCTAATCATTTCTTCACGTTTTATTTCATTAAGTTGGACTTTGACCTCTGATATCCCTTCTTCTGCTTGAACAATTCGAGTGTTTAAACCTGTGCATAACTTCTCGGAGTTCCTGTATTGTATTCTTCAGTTCCATTAATTCACTCATACTCCTCTCTAAGTTGTCTATTCTCAATAGGATTTCATCAAACCTTTTTTCAAAGTTCCTAGTTTCTTTACGTTGGGCTACAACATGTTCTTTTAACTCACCGAAGTTTGTTATTATCCATTCCTTGAAGAGTGATTCTGTCATCAGGAGGCGCTCATTCTCCATCAAGCCTCGTTCCATTGTTGATGTGGAACTGTGATCATCTTTAGAGGGAGAGGCGTTCTGACTTTGAGTATTCTCAGCTTTTTTACGCTGGTTTCTTCCCGTCATTGTAAATTTATCCTCCTCTCGTCTTTGAAATTACCAACTTTCAGATTAGGTCTCTTGAGTGGACGTCCAGGTTGTTAGTTCCCAGGGCCAGAGTAGCGGCGTTAAAACTGATGGTGCTTTTCTGCCCAGGATTATCTTGTCGGGCTTCCTTCTTGTGTCCGTAGTAGGCGACTCTGCCTTCCTGGGGCTCCAAACCTCGGGCAGAAGGGGAACCGGTCCTGTTTACTCTGCGCCGAGCGCGGGGAGCGCGGGGAGGTGCCGTCACAGCCGCTGGGCTGGGCTCTGGTGTTGTGCTGGGGGCCCGTGTGGGTCCTCCAAACCTGTTTACTCTGCTCCGAGAGCTGCGGCACCAAGGTGCTGGCGGAACCGCTGCGCCGGTCACGAAAGTCGCGCTGGCGACCCGTGTGATTCCTCCACTGGGGGATCTTCTGCTCCGCGAGCGACCAGAATTTGTCTGAAAGTGTGGCGTCCTCTAGTTCTCCGCGCCTTCCCTGAGAGCTGCAATCCCGGGATGTTAGCGATCAGCCATCTTGGATCGTTCCCCGAGATCCCATCTCTAAAAAAAATTTTATGCCAGGCGTATTGGCTCATACCTGTAATTCCTCACTTTGGGAAGCCAAGGCTGACAGATCACTTAAGGTCAGGAGTTCAAGGTCAGCCTGGCTAACATGGTGAAACCCTGTCTCTAATAAAAACACAAAAACTAATCAGGCATGGTGGCATATGCCTATAATCCCAGCTAATAGGGAAGCTGAGGGAGGAGAACCGCTTGCACCCAGGAGGCAGAGGTTGCAGTGAGTAGAAATAGCACCACTGCACTTCAGCCTGGGTGACAGAGCGAGACTCTGTCTCAAAAATAAATAAAAAATAAATAAAATTTTGTTTTAATTAGCTGTAAGTGGTGGTGCTCACCTGCAATCCCTGCCTTTGCTCACATCCCTGTCCTGACCTGCAGAAATCTTTCCAGACTGAATTCAATGGTCATGAATCTTTGGATGCTACCACCTCCATGAAGCCTTCCTTGCCCTCCCACCTATCTTCTTGTTCCCAGCTAGTAGCTGTCATCCTTTAAGGTTTTATGAAGCACTTTCTTTGTTTTCTCTGTTTTCCAGGCTGGAGTGCAGTGGTGTGGTCATAGCTCACTGCAGCCTGACCTCCTCGGCTCAAGCCATCCTCCTGCCTCAGCTTACAGCTCGACTGCAGGCACACACTACCACACCCAGCTAATGGTGTATTTTGTGTTGAGATGGGGGTCTCGCCATGTTTCCAAGGCTGGTCTTGAACTCCTGAGCTCAAGTAATCCACCCACCTAGGCCTTCCAACATTTTGAGAGTACAAATGGGAGCCACCATGGCTGGCCAAAAAAATTTTTTTAGAGATGGGCTCTCACTGTCACTCAGGCTGGAGTGCAGTGGCAAGATCTTGGCTCACTGCAGCTTGCACTCACTCCCAGGCTCAAGCAGTCTTCCCTCAGCCTCCAAATAGTTGGGATCACAGGTGCGAGCCACTAGACCTGGCTAATTTTTCGTAGAAATGGGGGTTTGCCATGTTGCCCAGGCTGATCTTAAACTCCAGAGCTCTGACAATCCGCCCACCCCACCTTGGTCTCCCAAAGTGCAGGGACTACAGGCATGAGCCACCATGCCCAGCCAAAAAAAAAAAAAAAAATTTTTTTTTTTTTTTTGAGACCAAGCCTCACTCTTTTACCCAGGCTGCAGTGCACTGGTGTGATCTTGGCTTACTGCAACATTTGCCTCCTGTGTTCAAGGGATTCTCCTGCCTCAGCCTCCTGAGTTGCTAGGATTACAGGCACCTGCCACCACATGGAGCTAATTTTTTTATTTTTAGGAGAGATGGGTGTAGGAGAGACCATGTTGGCCAGGCTGGTCTCAAACTTCTGACCTCAGGTGAAGTTCGCCCATTTCAGCCTCCCAAAGTACTGGGATTACAGGCCTGAGCCACTGCACCTGGCCAAAAAAAAAAAACTTTTTAAAGAAGAAAATGAAAAGATCACACTAGTCAGAGATGTCCAGTAGTGACCTGCTATCTACCCTGTGGCCGTATCAATGTAGAGATGCTTTTATATTGTGAGCCATTTTGATCCGCCCCTTCATTTGATAACTGTGTTAAGCACTTGCCTGGGATCAGGCACAGAGAAGCTCTTGCCTCATGCTGTGTGGCTGGGCCCATGGCACGGCACTAGACCGCCCTGTGCTTAGCCTGCTTGGCTGATGGGTGAAGACAGGCAGAGTGCGGACGGAGCTGGTGATTCAGCAGCAGGGATGTTGCCCCTGGGCCTCCCAAGGTGCTAGCCTTGGTGCAGCTAGAGATCTGAGGGTTAGGCTGGTGCCTAATGGGTCCTCCTCTTGGGCAGAATCCTGCGGGCTGGGCCCTGGCAGTGCCTCCCAGGTACCCCTCATTTTGCGCTTCTTTGGAAAGGACGAGTCAGTGGCATAGTGTGGGAGACACTGGTGGGTTTGTGGCCAGGCCTGATCTTCAGGGCAAGAACCACGCTCTCAGTCTTACCCGGGCACTACAGGAACGCTGGTGGATGACTGCCGAGCAGTCCAAGGTGGAGTCCATGCAGCGCGCCCTAGAGGAGCAAAGGAAGATCACAGCGCAGCAGATGGCCATGGAGAGGGCGGAGCTGGAACGGGCCAAGGTGAGTCACACCTCTGCCCTTAGCCCCTAACCCTGCCATCATGCCCAGGGACACTCATCCCATGCCCTCACCCCCACATCCCAGAGTGCCTTGCTGGAGGAGCAGAAGTCTGTCCTGCTCAAGTGTGGGGAGGAGCGGCGGCGCCTGGTGGCTGAGTGGGCGGAGTTCTCTGTGCAGCAAAAACTGAGTAAGGAGCGGGCCGAGCGTGAGGCCGAGCGGGTGCTGCAGGTGGACACCCAGCGGGAGGGCACCCTCATCAGCCTGGCCAAGGTAGGGCCCAGAGCCTCCGGCACAGCGGAGGGCTGGGGTAGCCTCTGCCCCTCCCTCTGGACACACCCAGTCCAGTCTTAGGAAAAGAGAGCATAGCACTACTGTCACAAGAACACAGGGATTAAAACAATAATCACATCCTCATGCTCACAGCTTCCCTGTATTGTCCCAAGTGCCTTATGCACATTTTCTCATTTGATCCTCATATTCCCATGACTTTGAGATTTAGAAATGAGGAACCCAAACTTCAGAGTGGAGCCTGCCGTAGTCACATGGCTGGTGAGGGCAGCACCCTGGCTTGTCTCCGGGCTTCTCTGGCCCTCCCTGGAAGATCGTGGTTCCACCACCCCCTCGTAGGGGCAGGTTGGGCAGAGGGGACCCGAGAGTCCTGCACAGTGCATTGCAACTCCTGGAGGAGAATGCAGCAGGGCCTCTGCCGTCTCCAGGAGCAGGCCGAACTGAAGATCAGGGCCAGCGAGCTCCAGGCCGAGGAGAAGCAGTTGGCGGCTGAGAGAGCAGCCCTGGAGCAGGAGCGGCAGGAGCTGCAGCTGGAGAAGGAAAGGCTCAGCGCCACCGCCCTGCGTGTTAAACTCCGTGCCGAGGAGGTGGAGAGCATGAGCAAGGTGCTGCTTGGGTACACGGGCATGGGCGTGGCCCAGCCCAGGCAGCCCTGACCCAGGTGGCCTTCCTGCAGGTGGCCTCCGAAAAGTACGAGGAGGGGGAGCGGGCACTGCGTGAGGCCCGGCAGGTGCAGGCCGGGCAGCAGGCCCGGCTGCAGGCAGTGCAGCAACAGCAGGAGCGGCTACGGAAGCAGGAGCAACATATACACCAGGCAAGGCTCCCCGAGTGAATGGCGCCCCAGCCCCTAGTACCCCCAGCCTCCCACCTCACAGCTGAGGCCTTCTTTCTGGGGCAATGGGGACAGGAGCATCTGAGTCTGGCCCAGCAGAGGCTGCAGCTGGACCATGCACGACAGGACCTGCCCTCCAGCCTCCTGAGGCTATTCCCCAGGGCCCAGGGCCCTGCAGCCTCCAGCCAGAGTGGTGAGTGGCTCCAGAGGAAGGGTGGGGGGCTCAGGACTGGGCAGGGGCTAGGAGTGGGCAGGCCCCCCATTTGCTGCTCCAGTTAAGGCAGCCAGCTGGGTTTTACAGTTGTCTTATTATTTCTTTTTTACAGAAATAATGTGTGTTAATTTTAGGTAAATAGAAATAGAGAGAGGGACACTATTAAAATTTCACCTTTTCGTGACTCTGCACTCGGGAAAAAAAGGAAATAAAAAAGCCATTGTCAGTTTGGGCGAGGTGGCTTACTCCTGTATTCCCAGCACTTTTGGCGACTGAGGCAGGCAGAACACCTGAGGAGTTCGAGACCAGCCTGGCCAACATGGTGAAACCCCGCTCTACTAAAAAGACAAAATTAGCCAGGCGTGGTGGCGGGAACCTATAATCCCAGCTACTCGGGAGGTTGAGGCAGGAAAATTGCTTGAACCCAGGAAGTGGAAGTTGCAGTGAGCCAAGATCCCACCACTACACTCCAGCCTGGGTGACAGAGCAAGATTTCATTAAAAAAAAAAAAATTCCCCTGCCTTGGTGGCTCATGCCTGTAATCCCAACACTTTGGGAGGCTGAGGCGAGCCGATCACAAGGTCAGGAGATCAAGACCATCCTGGCTAACATGGTGAAACTCTGTCTCCACTAAAAATACAAAAAAATTAGCTGGGCGTGGTGTCATATGCCTGTAATTCCAGCTACTTCAGGAGGCTGAGGTAGGAAAATTGCTTGAACCTGGGAGGCGGAGGTTGCAGTGAGCTGAGATTGTGCCATTGCACTCCAGCCTGGGCTACAGAGCAAGATTCCATCTAAAAAAAAAAAAAAAAAGTCACCCTCAACACCACTCCGAGTCTAGAGAGAACCGTAAGGTTCCACTCTGGTACCTATTTTTTTTTCTGAGATGGAGTTTCACTCTTGTCACCCAAGCTGGAGTCCAGTGGTGTGATCTCAGCTCACTGCAACCTTCACCTCCCAGGTTCAAGTGATTCTCCTTTCTCAGCTTCCCAAGTAGCTGGGATTACAGGCATGTGCCACTGCGCCTGGGTAATTTTGTATTTTTAGTAGAGACAGAGTTTTGCCATGTTGCCCAGGCCACTCTGAAACTCCTGACCTCAGGTGATCCACCCACCTCGGCCTCCCAAAGAGCTGGGATTACAGGCATGAGCCAACATGCCTGGCCTGGTACATATGTTTTTAAAAACAAAGTTAGGATTGTATGTGTTGTTTGATAACTTGACTTTTTTCACTCAATCATGTACACATGGAACAGCTTTTCGGATCAGTCTTTAAACATGTAGTCAGTTCCCAGTCAGCGGTTTTCCACTGTGAGGCTGCTCTGTGCTGAGTGACTTGTTTTCTTAAAGAGAAAGAGTACCCAGTGGACATCTTCCTACATACATCTTTGCACCTTTGCCTGATGATTTCACTTGAATGAATTCCTAGAAATGGCCTCGCCAGGTAGGAGCAGGTGTGCATTTGTCAGAGGCTTTTGACAATGAGTGCCATTGCACCCTTAGTGGATGACCAGGGTCCACCCACTGGCAGGGGCACACAGTCCTGCAGGAACAAGCTGTGACCAGCGGCTTTTCCAGCAACACTTGTTTGGTCCCTGACTTCCTCCTTGGCCTTTTCAGCCCTCGTGCCTCCTGCTCTCACCACCCCTTGGTGCAGCCAGCCACCGAATGGCCCAGACCCCAGCCCCTTGCACCTCCATGCCAGGCTGGTGCTTCTGAGGCACACGGCAGAGCAGGTAAGTCTCTCCTGACCTTGGGGATCCGCATGTTCATGAGTCCTTCCAGCTCAGGGCAGAGGCGGGAGGAGCACATGGTAGCCCTGGGGAGGGGTGATCCCAGCTCCTGGGGAGTAAAAGTGCAATTTGTTCAGTGAGCCAATTTTCATTTTCATGTGCCAAGCTCAGGGCTGAAGGCTTTGTTTATATTTAGAAATGGGGTCTCAGTATATTGCCCAGGTTGGTCTCAAACTCCTGGGCTCAAGTGATCCTACCCCCTTGGCCTTCGGAGTAGCTAGGATTACAGCCATGAGCCATTGTGCTTGACCCATTTTAAGCTTTTACGCTCACACAGCCCTACAAGGAAGGGCTACAAGGAATGTTTACAGACAAGGGACCTGAGGCTTAGAGACACAAAGTCAAGTGCTCATAAGTTGCACTGCAAACAGCCTTGACAGGATTGACATTGTGGTCTGTATTGCTCCACACCTGGGCTCTTTCATGGCCCCTGCTGACTCAGAACCAGACAGAGTCAGGGAGGATGTGGGGAGGGGCCTCAGTGAGGGCAGGCTCAGCTAGTGTCCAGGGCTCCACCCCTCTTTCAGTTCAGGGAAGGTGACCGCCCATCCAAATCTGCCTTGCAGGACCACGACTTCTTGGAGAATGAACAGTTCTTCCTGGAGACCCTGAAGAAAGGGTCCTACAATTTGACATTTCATTCAGCCTGAGTGGGACCCCAGCCAATTCCCCAACAGAAGGCTCTGGCCCCAGAACTCTCTCCTGTTCCTCCTGCTGCCTCCATGGAGGCAGTGCCTGGGGAGGATTCTGAGATGCCCGAGGCCTAATGACAGCTCTTCTGTGGACAAGATGCAAGTTAATCCTTTCCAAGTGTGCCAGCCTGGGCAGCCCCTGCCTCTGGGGCTCTGTGGTGTAGGCTGTCTTACCACAACTTTGGCTGCCCTCCCCAAAGCCATCTAGCTTGGATCTGAGGGTCTGAGTGGGCAGTGAGGATCCCCAACTCTCAGTGGGCTCTGTGGGCTCCCCCCTACTCCATAGGCAGACTGTTGTGGGCTCGTTTTGCCTGGGCCTCTTCTGAGGCAGGAGCTTTCTTGAGGGATGCCACAAACAGCCTTCCCTCCTCCCTGCCAGAGCAGCTCCCTCCCCGATGAGCTGGAGAAGGGCCCTCTTGCCTCCTGGCAATACAGGGAGAGCACCAGCCAGATTCTCCCTTTCAGTGTAAGATGTTCCTGGAACTCAGCTGGGCCTGCCTCCTCCTGGGCTTGCCCAGAGCCCCCACCCTATTCCCAGCATTGCCCAAAGGACCAACCAGCCTGGGTGAACAGTGGCCTCCTCAGCTTCCTCCCCATCCGGGTGCTCCACCACCAGCGGTGGAGGGACCTGTGGCAATGGTGGGGTGTGGGGAGGGACAAGGAGGGAAGGCTCCTCTGTGCTGCTCACCTACCCAAAGCCACAGCCCTACCAAATCGTGCAGTGGAGCTGACAAGGAATTGATCACAACTAATAGAGATTGTTCGTTCCTCCTCTACTCCCTCTGCTTTGCTTGACTAAGCTTAAAAAAACTGCTTTCGCCATGGCTCATCAGAGTTTATACTTATTTCTTAGAAAATGCTTGCTGTGGGCTGGTTGTGGTGACTCACACCTGTAGTCCTAGCACTCTGGGAGGCTGAGGCAGGCAGATCGAGAGGTTAGGAGATTGAGGCCATCCTGGCCAACATGGTGAAACCCCGTCTCTACTAAAAATACAAAAAGTAGCTGGGCATGGTGTGGCATGCCTGTAGTCCCAGATACTAAGGAGGCTGAGGCAGGAGAATCACTTAAACCCAGGAGGCAGAGGTTGCAGTGAGCTGAGATCGTGCCACTGTACTGCCTGATAACAAACAAAGACTCTGTCTCAAAAAAAGAAAGGGGCCGGGCGCGGTGGCTCACGCCTATAATCCCAGCACTTTGGGAGGCCGAGACGGGTGGATCACGAGGTCAAGAGATCGAGACCATCCTGGTCAACAAGGTGAAACACCATCTCTACTAAAAATACAAAAATTAGCTGGGCATGGTGGTGTGCGCCTGTAGTCCCAGCTACTTGGGAGGCTGAGGCAGGAAAATTGCTTGAACCCAGGAGGTGGAGGTTGCGGTGAGCCGAGATGGTGCCACTGCACTCCAGTCTGGGTAACAACAGCGAAACTCCATCTCAAAAAAAGAAAGAAAGAAAGAAAAAGAAAGAGAGAGAGAGAAAGAAAGAAAGAAACTGTTTGGGGAGCCGCAGTGGCTCTGGCCAGTTGTCCTGGCACTTTAGGAGGCGAGGCTGAGTTCAAGGCCAATCTGAGCAACATAAGCTTTCATTCATTAACAAAAAGAAAAAAGAAAATGTTTGCTATGTTTCCTGTTATTTCATGGACAAGAAATCTCAAAGAGCAGGCAGATGTTCCATTAAAAAACCAGCCTGTCTGGGCACAGTGGTTCATGCCTGTAATCCCAGCACTTTGGGAGGCTGAGGTGGGCAGATCACCTGAGGTTGGGAGTTGAAGACCAGCCTGACCAACATGGTGACACTCCGTCTCTATAAAAAAAAAAAAAAATGCCGGGTGCAGTGGCTCACGCCTATAATCCCAGCACTTTGGGAGGCCGAGGCGGGTGGATCACGAGGTCTAAAGATCGAGACCATCCTGGTCAACATGGTGAAACCCCATCTCTACTAAAAAAAAATACAAAAAATTAGCTGTGCATGGTGGCGCATGCCTGTAATCCCACCTACTCAGGAGGCTGAGGCTGGAGAATTGCCTGAACCCAGGAGGCAGAGGTTGCGGTGAGGCGAGATCACGCCATTGTACTCCAGCCTGGGTAACGAGCAAAACTCCATCTCAAAAAAAAAAAAAAAATTATCCAAGTGTGGTGGCGCATGCCTAAAATACCAGCTACTGGGAGGTGGAGGCAGGAGAATCACCCAGGAGGTGGAGGTTGCAGTGAGCTGAGATCGTGCCATCACACTCCAGCCTGGGCAAAACTCCATCTTAAAAAACAAAACAAAGCCTATTCAGT